GACTCCTGTCTTTCACGCCCACATCTAATCCTCTGGGGGATCCTGTGGCTCAAGCTTTAAAATATAACCAGTTCCTTTCAAAACTAAAAATGTACTTACTGGGATGCCCCGGGGGGGTGGGGGGGGGCTTAGCGGTGAGCGCCTGCCTTTCCAGGGCGTGATCCTGGGGTCCCAGCATCGAGTCCTGCATGGGGCTCCCCGCAGGGAGCCTGCTTCTCCCTCTGCCTGTGTCTCTGCCTCTCTCTCTCTCTCTCTCTCTCTCTCTCTCTCATGAATAAATAAATAAAATCTTTTTTAAAAAATGGACTTACCAAGGGCCCAGCAATTGCATTTATCCTGGATGAATGAAACTCATTTTCAAATGTTCCTAAGCGGCTTTCTTTGTAAATAGCCCCAACCTGGAGACCTCCCGCTATCCTTCAACAGGGGACTGGTTAAACATAACCATGAGGCACCCCGACTGTGGAGAGCCACTGGGCAACCAAAGGTAACGAGCTAGTGATACAAGCACCAGCTGGGATGAACCTCCAGGGAGTTACAGGGCATGGAAAAGCCAGTCTCAGAAGAATACCTGCTGCGCGATGCCATGTGTGCGACACTTGTGCGTAACGTGATCCCAGAGTTACAGACCGGCGCGGCTGCCAGAGGTTAGGAACAGGAGGGGAGGGATGTGGCTAGAAAGGAGTGACACAAGAGACCTCATGGCAGTGGTATACTTGAGGGTCTTGATTGTTGTGGTGGTGACTTTGGGTTCACATGTGACAAAAGTTGAGTAGAGCTACACACACACACACACACACACACACAGAGTGCACAGGCAACCAGTGAAATTTGAATAAACTACACGATGCCAATGCCAATTCCTTGGTGTTGCTACCTTGCTGGGGTTATGTGAGATGGGGAGGGGACGTCTTGGTGTGCTCCTTTGCACACCTGTGAATATGCAATTTTTTCCATATAAGAACAACTTTATTTTTTTTAAAAGATTTATTTATTTATTTATTTATTTATTTATTTATTTATTTATTCATGAGGGACACACAGAGAGAGAGACAGAGACACAGGCAGAGGGAGAAGCAGGCTCCATGCAGGGAGCACGACGTGGGACTCGATCCCGGGTCTCCAGGATCGCACCCTGGACCGAAGGCAGGCACTAAACTGCTGAGCCACCCAGGGATCCCCAAGAACAACTTTAAATACATATACCCAGAGCCCACTCCCTTCCAGTCACCTGCCCAGTTACCAGGTAGGTCCAAACCACTACCATCTCTTGCCTGGATTGCTGCAACTGCCTCTTCCTGGATCTTCCTGCTTTTACATACAGTCTGTCCTCAAAAAGAGCAGCTTCTACAACGGAAGGCAATTTCTGTCATTTATAGAAATAAATGGAGACCAACCAGATGAGAAAAGCAAAGGCTATTTATCGGAAGCTTGCTCTGGAAGGGAGTCAAAACACACCGTCACTTGTGTTTTGGCAGAGACTCAAAGGCAGCAGACGCATGGGGAGGCTTTATGGTGGAAAATGGGGAGGCTTTGGGTGTGCCCCATTGGAGCCTGCTGGCACAGGGAGGCTGTAGGTGGCTGACCAGAAGCAAGACATCCTGTGTTATGGGTTAGGAGTGCACATTTGGCTTTTTTCTGGTTGATTCTAAGTTGGGAGGAGGGACACAAAGGAACCTGGCTTCCTGGATTGACATGAGACAGCGTTCTGGCCTCTCACAAACCTGACACACAGCAGGCTGGCTTCCTGGGCTGGTTATTGTAGAAAAGGCAATGGTTTGAAGGTTGAGGTCGAAGTTCATTTTATATGTAGCTTGGCCATTGTCAGCTCGTATATTCAGTCTCTCATATTCCCTCTGCTAGAATTCTCCAGCGGGTCCTCATCCCATAGAGTCCTCACAATGGCCTCCAACACCCTACGTGACCTGGCCCCATTCTGTCCCTCTAGCCTCCTCCTACTCTCTTGCACTCTCCACTCCAGCCTCACTGGCTGCCTTGCTATTCTAGAGCATGCCAGCCCCTCTCCCAAGGCACTTCTATCCTTCTCACACACTGCCTTTCTTATTTTTAAACTTTTTAAAAAAGATTTTATCTATTTATTCATGAGAGACACACAGAAAGAGGCAGAGACACAGGCAAAGGGAGAAGCAGGCTCCATGCAGGGAGCTCGATGTGGGACTTGATACCTGGACCCCGGGGTCATGCCCTGGGCTGAAGGCAGACACTCAACTGCTGATCCACCCAGGCATTCCCCCCCGCCTTTTTTTTTTTACTTTTTTTTTGAGATTTTATTTATTTATTCATGAGAGACACACAGAGAGACAGAAGGAGAAAGACTTTCTTATTTTTCATGCTTGCTGTTTATATATCTATATATTATTTACACTCCCAACTAGAGTATAAATTTTATGAGGATACCAGTTTGGGTTGTTTTTTTGACTTCTATTCCAGCACCTGGAACCTTGTCCAGCACAGAGTGAGTGCCCAATACAACTTTTTTTTTTTAATGAATGAGGAAACTAATATGTGAGTATGTGTGTGCAAATATAGTGAATAACATCTACTACTTTCTATCAGGTGCTTGGAGTTTAGTGTACACTGTGCTAAGTGCATTAATATATTATCCCATTTTTATCCTTCATAGCTCTCCGACTGGGGTGTTATCAGAACCACTTCCTGTCCAAGTAAGGTAGTTCCAGGGAAACAGAACTGAGTCCCGGAGCTTCTCAGAGACCTACATAAAAGTTTAAAGCCCAAGAGGAGCCCTAGTTCCAAAATGCAAAAACTATACAATAACCCAAATTATTAAATGTTTAATGAAATGTCTACAAGATGTCATCAGTTGTTAATGTATGTCATCAATTCTGTGTCAACTTCTTTAATTATTAAATGTAGTGTTCATAAGAATTTCATTACATTTGGAAATAATTTGTAAATTATATTTTTTTAAAAACTCCGTGAGTACTTCAAGAATGCAAATGAGCACCCAAGAGCCCTGAGAACTCGTGGGATTATACTATAAATGAATCACTTTTAGCCAAATAATTTCCAAGCAGACTTACAAAAATCACTTCATGTTCTTTCACAGTAATATGTTATATTTAATGTAGTAATTCTGTGGGTTTCATAATTGATCTGGGGAGGAACTTCCAAAAGTAATAGTACTTCATCTTAGGAACATCTTAAAATTGGCCTTTGATACAATCAGCCTCATTTTACAGATTTTTTAAAAAAGATGTTATTTATTTATTCATGAGAGACACACACAGAGAGAGAGGCAGAGGCACAGCAGAGGGAGAAGCAGGCTCCACGAAGGGAGCCCAACGTGGGACTCAATCTCAGGACCCCAGGATCATAGCCTGGGCCAAAGGCAGACGCTCAACCCCTGAGCCACCCGGGCGTCCCCCATTTTACAGATTTAACTCCATGGTCTGCAGTTTCCTGGTCACACTAGTCGACCTCCCCCATTTCTCCAGGCCAGGTCCTCCTGCCTTCTTATTTCCACCCGCCCCCCCAACACCAACAGGCCCACCCGGGGCCTGGGGACACACGGGGTGTGTGCGCCTATGGGTGACGATGGTCAGGGCGAGGTGTACATTTCCCAGGCTCTGGTCCCCCCTTTACCTGCTTGCCCCTCGGGTCGCCCCGTTCTTTGTTCCCGGAGAGCCCGGGCCGGCTTGGGAACAGGGACTCCGCCACCAGGTGGAGCCACAAGCTCATGCCTGGGCTTCTATGGGCTCCCTTCGAGGAGATGGGCGTCGGGAGGCCCCGGGTGCCCCCCAGGCTTCTCCTTCCCCAGGCTGACCTGACTCTGGCCCCCCTGGGTGGTTCACATGGCCGTTCCCCCGGGGGGCTGCCGGCAGTTGCACTGCTGCTCCCTCTGTTCCAGCCTCCAGCTGCGGCCCTCCTCTTCCCATCTCTCTCCCCATCCCCTACCTCCACCTTCCCCAGCAAATCCAGTACTTCCCCGTCTCCTTCAACCGGTTAGTTTTAAAGACCAGGCGCTGGTGCCTATTGTATGGCAGACGCTGTGGCCGGTTCTGGAAAGTCGGGGAAGGTAGGTGTCGTCCCAGCAGAGGACTGGGGTAGGGAGCCCCTTCTTCTCTGCCTCCTCCCTCTCCCCTCCCCCTTCCCTGGAGGCCCCTCTCTTCCCGACCAAGGAACACTCACCAGAAAGAAGAAAGAGCCAGAGTGTTCTCCTCCCAGCTCCCATCCCTCCCTACCCAACTCTTCCCGAGGCCCACCTCCTCATCGCTCTCATTTCAAGGTTTGGGGTGGGGGTGGGGGCATCAGAGGCTAAGCCGGGACGTTGAGTGAGTCACCCAAGGACTGAGATCTTCCCACCAACCACACCGACCTGTGTGTTGCACGGGGGCGTGGGTGGGCTGGACTACAGATTTTTCTTTTTTTCCTTTGCCCAGATATTTACCCCATCCAACTTCCTCATTCTTTATAGGGGCAAGGGGCCACTCTGTCCAAAGCTAATCCCTCCATCAGGCTTGGGTCCTGTTCCCTTGCCTCCCTCTAGAACCTTCCCTCTCCCTCTTTCTCTCTTCCTGCTGGATCTTGCCTCTCTCACTTCCACCCTCAAAGTGCCCACCTCCATGGCAGCCAATGCAATTAGGCAAGAGAAAGCGTCTTAAAGCCTTAGTGGGAGGAGATGAAGTTAACATTTGCAGACGCCCGTTTACTGCAGGTAAAGTGCTCTGAGGAGAAAGACAGGAAGTTAGTGAGGTGCAAAATACCCTGAGAGCACCTGCATCCCAATCAGATATTTTAATGGAAGGAAAGATGTTATTTTTTAAAAGATTTTATTTATTCATGAGAGACACAGAGAGAGAGGCAGAGGCACAGGCAGAGGGAGAAGCAGGCTCCATGCAGGGAGCCCGACGTGGGGCTCAATCCCGGGACTCCAGGATCACGCCCTGGGCCAAAGGCAGCCGCTCAACCACCAGGTGCCCTACTCCTAGGTGTTTACCCAAATAAAACGCATGTCCACACTCGTTCAAAGGAGCTTTATTTGATCCTCAGTAACGGACACTAGAGTGAGTAACGGTGCAGCCATCCACACGGTGGGAGGAACAGGCAGCAAAAAGGCGCGACTACAGACAGACACGAAGAGTGGGACTCTCAGACACGCGAGGGCGGGGAGGAGCGGGACCCGGGAGGATACATACCGCGCGGCTGCATCTGTCTGAAGTTCCAGAAAGTGAAATGTAACCCCTGCGATGGACGAGACCCGCGGGGGCCTGGGGCTGGGAAGGGGCCTGGGGGAGTTTTGTGAGTTGATGGAAATGTCCTCGGTCTTGTGTTGGCTGATGGGTGCACTGTGTTCACATTTGTCAGAACTCATCCAGCACTCCATTTAATGGGTGCATCTCCTGGCAGTATATTTTTTAAAAAAGGAAAAAAAAAAAAAGTAAATGCTGGAGGAAGACAGCAAAAATCCTGTGCTTTTGCTGGGATTGAAAATCCAAGTTAGAGGGACGCCTGGGTGGCCCAGCGGTTTTGTGCCTGCCTTTGGCCCAGGGCATGATCCTGGAGTCCCAGGATCGAGTCCCATGTTGGGCTCCCTGCATGGGGCTTGCTTCTTCCCCCTGCCTGTGTCTCTGCCTCTCTCTCTCACTGTATCTCTCATGAATAAATACATAAAATCTTAAGGAAAAAAAAGAAAGAAAATCCAAGTTAGAAAGCAATAAACAATTGGATAATGATAATAAAAACCCTATACTGAGATGCAATTTTTCACTTACCAGATTGTCAAAAACTCCAGAAGTTTAATAACAGTGTGTGTTGGCCTGGCTGCGAGGAAAACACACCCTTACTCACCAATGATGGGAGTGTAAATAGGAATAACCCCAAGTTATCACATCTGTCTATAGTTTGTTTGCACCTTTTTACCGTCTGCCCCTCCCACTGTATGGAGAGCGGCACCATTTAGTTATTTGTAGTTTTCTGTTTCTGATGATCAAATAAAGCTCCTTTGAACATCTATAAACAGGCATTTGGGCAATATTTATTAAATTACAAAGGTTTTAACCTAGCCATTTCCTACAGGGATTTTATTCTACAGATATAAACTCAACCCTGGCAAAGAAGCATATGTTAAAGGCTATCACTGCAACATTGTTTGAAACAGCAAAACACAAAAAATAAACTGTCTACCAATGCAGGCAGGTTAAATAGTGTACATTTGAACAATGGAATCCTGTGTAACTAAACACCCCCCCCCCCCCCGTGAAAAAAGTCTGCGTGTACTATTATGGAAAGATGCTGAAGGTGTAATATTAAGTAAATAAAGCAACATTACATATGTTATGTTGCCACTTGTATGAAAAAAACCCTGGAGGATTTATATATATTTGGGTTTTCTTGTATATGCAGTTAAAAAACAACAACTTCTGGAAGCATAACCAAGAAACTAATATTAGGGGATACCTGTTTGGAGGCAGGTGTGGGAAATATGTGGATGGAGTCAGGAGATGAGGGAAATTTTTAATACTATGACTTCTTAATCTTCAAAAAATTTTGAGTGACATGACTGTACCAGCTACCCAAAATTTACGTATTTAAGGTTTATTTATTTGAGAGAGAGTGAGCACACATGAGCAGGGGAAGAGTCTGGCAAAGGGTGAGGGAGAAGCAGACTCCCTGCTGAGCAGGGAGCCCAGTGCCTGCCTTGATCCCAGGACCTGGGATCATGACCTGAGCTGGAGGCAGATGCTTAACGGACTGGGAGCTACCCAGGTACCCCCAAATTTACCTATTTTTTTTTTCAAATTTACTTATTTTTAAAATGACATCAAAGTAATACATTCCATGGGGCAGCCCGGGTGGCTCAGCGGTTTAGTGCCACCTTTAGCCCAAGGCCTGATCCTGGAGTCCCGGGATCGAGTCCCATGTCGTTGGGCTCCCTGCGTGGGCCCTGCTTCCATATCCGCCTGTGTCTCTGCCTCTCTCTCTCTCTGTGTGTGTGTTTCTCAAGAATAAATGAAATCTTTTTTTTTTTTAAGATTTATTTATTTATTCAGAGAGAGAGAGAGAGAGAGAGAGAGAGAGAAGCAGAGACACAGGCCGAGGGAGAAGCAGGCTCCATGCAGGGAGCCTGATATGGGACTCGATCCGGGGTCTCCAGGATCGCACCCCGGGCTGCAGGCAGCACTAAACCGCTGCACCACCAGGGCTGCCCTAAATAAATAAAATCTTTAAAAAAGAAAAGTAATATATTACATGACGTCAATATAAGTGTCTTATCATTATTCACAAGGTTACCTTGAGGGAGAAGAGGATAGCTAGCAAGGGTCTAGCCCAGTGCAGGGACATGCATGGTCTGGTGTTACTATTTTTATGGTCTCTCCCCCAAATCTCTGCACCACCCCCATACCTTAGGCTCCATTTCCCAAAATCAGAGGTGCTCAGCTGCCTCAACTGCAGCCTCGGCCTCGCAGGGGCTTCCGCTCTGTGGCACGCATGCCCCACCCCGTGCCCCACCTCATCAGCCTGCCCTGTGGCTGCAAGGGCATCGTCTCTTCAGGGAAACCTCCTCTGATTGACATCCTCTCCCTCCCTCCTCACACCCTACTGCCCGTTAAGTGCCCCTTGTCCACCCCCCCTCCCAAAACACAGACTGCAAGGTCTCCTCAGTCTTCAGAAGCCCAGGGGCCCTGGAACCTGGGGCCCCCCCGGCCTGGAGGGCTGGCCTCACCAAGGAATGACTTCTGCCCACCAGGGAAGTCAGTAGCAGGCCCTACCCTCCACCTAGAGAGACACCCACAAGTTTCAGTTTCCTGTAAATGTTCTCTTGATCCTCCCACACCCACAAGAATCTGAGTTTCGGTTTCTCCTAAGCTCTGTGAGGGAGGCGCGGGCTTTCCTGGAACTCCTGGTCCACTGCGTGCAGCCGGGTCGGAGGGACCAGAGCTTGCGCGGGAGGCTCAGGGTCCGGCAGGGAGAGCAGCCACCGAGGCGAGAACGGCGACACGGACAGTGGGGAATGGGCGCGACGCCCAAGTGCTGAGGGGGCCCAGTCGAGGGCAGAGGACTGTACTGTGCCCCACTGGGCCTCAAGGATGGCGGGAGTGGCCGGCGGGGACCACAGGGACGGCTCCTGAACAGGCTGAGGGCAGAGGAGGGCCAGCTGCCTGGGGCTCTGGCCCTCCAGGATGGGCCCCGGGGCCGACCCTTGAACCCCAAGGCTGTGCAGCCCACGCTGGGAGGGCTGGCGAGAGGAGGGAGAGGGCGGGCACTGGCGGGAACAGAGGGACAACTAACCAGTGGTGTGCGGGAGGCCCCGGGGAGCCCGGGCCCGGAGGACCAGCCAAGAGCTGTTTTGCAAAGGGGAGGTCCCAATTTCTGTGGGTTCCTTTTCTCACAAGCCTTTTCAGGAACTGAGATTCATTTCTTAGGGCTAAACAAGCAAAAGGCCCCTTCCCTGAGGTCCCTGGGGTTTGGGCCAGGCCTCCAGGCCCGTTCCGTCCCCTTCCCTCCCTTGTGCTAGTGGAGAAAGAGGGACGGGACTCTCCTGAAGGCGACTGGTAAGACCCCTCACCCCGGTCTCAGTCTCAGCAGGGCGTCTTCAGGACCAGTCCTGACACACCCACACCTTCTCTTTGGGCCAGCTTCTACCATAAAGAGCAGCAGAAGAGCCTGCACCCGCCCCACGGTCTCTGAACCCCGTGGCAAGAAGGGGAACTGTGGGTGATGCACACACCCTCCTATCTTGAGCCCCTGTCCTCGCCCAGGTGCCAGCAGGAGCATGGCCTCAGGGACCCCCACAACCCACCCCTGTGCCCCCACTTCTCTTCATTACACTGTAAACAGCACATTTATTGGTGGTTTGTAAACCTCTGGTAAAAAGCACAGAACAGCAGGGCCTTCCTACATGCTGCCCTGGGCCCCAGCCCGCCAGGCATGCAAGACAGAGCTGGGAGGTGAGGCAAGCCATCTTCAGGAGCAGAGCTGGACGCCGAGAAGGCCCCGCGCTTTTCCATCCGCACTGCCCACTGGCCTGGGCCTGAACCACTGCCACAAGGGCACATCCCTGCCCTGCGGTGACTCTCGGCGGTGGGCTGCCTTCCTTCGCCCCCAGCACCTCTCTGATCCCCACTCTAGAGCCGGGACCCGAGCCACACGCTTGGCTCCCTCACACTGGGACCAAATCAGGTGCAGTCGGGCTGGCCCTGTGGGCCCCGTCTCTCCAGTCAGGTAGCTGGCAGAGGGGAGAGGGCCCTGCTCTCTGGTCAGCACCCCATGGGCCCGCTCAGGGCTGGGTGTTCAGCCAGGGGCCGGGATGGGCAAAGGCTTATCCAGAGAAGCACTCCAGGTGAGATGGCAAGGCGGCCTGACTCAGTCTCTCCCAGCCTCTCGTGTCTGCCAGCCTCCATTTGTTGGCTCCTGGCCGAGCCTGAAACTTCTCAAGGCTCAACAACCCGAGATGTGGCACCAGCACCTCCTCCTCCAAGACGTCCCCCCACCCCAGGCTTCACGCTGGAATTGGGGCTGGCTTATGGGCAGTCAGCCAAAGCTGCTACTTCAGGGCCCTGAGAACAGCCTCCAGCTTCATGGCCACGGCCAGGTCACCCTTCACCTTTAGGCGCCCACTCATGTAGGCCCCCAGGGGCCGCAGCTCCCTGCACAGAAGGGCCCGCAGGTCTGCCTCAGCCATCTCCACCACCACATCAGGGATGCTGTCGGGCACCCCATGCCCTATGCTCCCGTGCCCTATGGGGGAAGAGAAAAACGGAGCATTAGCAGGGGGACAGCTACGCAGCAGGGGGAAGACGGGGTTAGCATGGCCTGCTAAGGAGTAGAAAGTAACAGCTAAGTGTCCAGGTTCCAATTCACTGAGTTCAAGTACTATTGGCTGTGTGACCACTCAGGGCCCCGGTTTTCAAACTGGTGAAACGGGGATGACAATCATCCCTGAATCAGAGAACCACGGTGAGGGGCAGGTGGGATCACACACTGCCGTGCTCAGCACAGACCCTGGCCAGCAGAGCTGCACTGTGTGCGTGAAGCTCTCGCCCCAGGGGCCCCTGCTCACCTGCTTCCCTGCTCACCGGGGCAGGGCAGGGAGACAACGGCCTGGCTCATCACTTTCCGCACATGGTGCAAGTTCACCCAAAACTCCTGGCAGGAGCAGGGGGCAATTTAAAATAGGACCACGGGGGTGGTTGCCGCTACGGGCCACCTGGCTGGGACGGTTAGGGCGGGGAAGGCAGGCGCACCTGTAGTGAGGTCGAGGAAGTAGATGCTCTGGGCGCCGCTGGGCAGGATGACATTGAACTGGTAGCAGGCCCCGACCTGGCTGACCAGGGCCTCTGATAGGAAGGGCTGCAGGGCAGTCAGCAGCCCCTCAGCCACAGGCTGCTTCAGACTGGGCCCAGCACCAACGTGAGGGGCAGGCGGCTCAGCTTCGCTCACCATCTCCAAGGTGTCTGCTGGGGGGTGGCCAACAGCCAGGGGGAAGGAAGCAGAGAGAAGAAAGTCAGGGTGCTGCCGAGGTCAGGCTCCCTGTGACCTCTGCACTGTCTGTGGCTGCTCCCTCTTCTGCGCCCATCTGGCCTGAGTTCCCCTTCCTCCTCTGCTAAGAGGCAGCCTTTTAGCTTTCTTTCTTTTTTTTTTTTTTTTAAAGATTTATTTCTTTATTCATTCAGAGAGAGCGGAGAGGCAGAGACATGCAGGAAGCCCGATGTGGGACTCGATCACACCCCAGGGCTGCAGGCAGTGCTAAACCGCTGCGCCACCGGGGCTGCCCGCCTTTCAGCTTTCAGCTTAACTCCCGCTCCCTGGGTGCCGTCCCTTCCCCCCATGGGGGCTCCCCAAGGCCTCTACACGCTCAGACATCTGGCCTTAGTTCCCATGGGCCCTAGAGACGGGTGGCCTGAGCGGCTGGGCAGGCGTCCCCGTGCACGAAGGTACTCCGCGCAGAGCCTGTGCGGACAACCAGCCCAGTGCCCTAGGGGGCACCTCCCCTTCTTCCCAGGACTCCTCACCTGGCCCAAGGGGTGAGGCGCCTCCAGCCACTGAGGGCAGGCCTCCTCCCAAGAAGTGGAGAGCCAGTTGCTGGAGGGTGCTGTCCAAGCTGGGCCCCGTTGGGCTGTCCTGGGGTGGCTGGAGCACAGCCTCCACTGCTAGTTCCACTCGGTCCACCTCCAGCCCCAGGCTCTGGTCACGTCATTGATTTCCAGCTGGAAAACAGCGTGGGGAGATGTGGAATTAAATCTGCAAGCCTTTGTGGGAGGACCTTCTTTGGTCTGGAGGCCCCACCACCTCCCTCCCTCCGGGGCCAAGCTCCCTCCTGGGAAATGCAGGCAGAGGGCAATTACAACCCAGCTGCTAGCAGCTGGTGGTGAGCAACTAGGACAGGGCCTGACCCCCTGGAGGTCCAGAGAGGGAGCGGTGACGCCAGGAGGAAGGGAGCCATCCAGTCCATGGGTAGAGCAGGAAGGAAGACTGAGCAGATGCTGTAATTTATAAGAAATGCGCACTGATCGTTTAAATGATACCTCCAAGTATGTCTTTGTTTCAAGACTCCCAGCCCTATAACCCTTGGAATTGCCGTGAGAAGAGAAATAAAGGGGTCTTTTGTTATGTTAAAAAAGGTGATTTTTGGAGCCCACCCAAGGATGGGGGGCTGGTTACCAGGAGGACCAACTATGTGATTGGAGAGTTGGAATTTCCACTGGGACGGGACAGATGACCAATGACTTAGTTCTCAGTATGCAAAGAAGCCTCTAGAAAATTCCCAGAAGGACTGGGCTCCAGAGCTTCCGGGCTGGTGAATGCCAGAGAGGTGTGCCTGGGGAGGGCATGGAAGCTCCGCGCCTTTTCCCCAGACCTCAACCTGTGTCTCTCTTTGTCCGGCTGTTAATTCATATCTTTTATCATATCCTTTAATAAACTGGTAAACATAGTTCTGTGAGCCACTCTAGCAAAAGAACCCAGGGAGGTTGGTGGAACCCCCAAATCTGTAGCTGGTTGCCAGAAGCACAGTAACAGCCTGGGCTTGTGACTGGCGTCTTTAGTGGGGGCCAGGGGGCAGTCTTGTGGGACTTAACCCATGGGATCTGATGCTGTCTCTGGGGAGACAGTGTCAGAATGGAGCTGGATTCTTGGGACACCCTACAGGCATCTGAAGATTGGTGTTGTGTGTGTGCAAACTCCCCCACATTGGAACCGGGTCCGGGAACTCCTTGAGAAGGGCTCTTCCAGGCAATGGGAACAGCGTGTACAAGGGCAGGGACAGGATAACCTGGAATGTCTGGGGAAATGGGAGTAACCAGAGTCCCGTTTAGCTAGACCCTCGCAATGGGCCAGGAGAGGAGACAGCTGGCTCAGAGGTGGGGGCTCCGCTCACTTGGATTTACCCTGACACACGGAACATTTGAGAGGAGTTTAGCAGGGAGGTAACCAGGACTTGCTCCTTGGGAAGAGCCTCCTGGCTGCTCCACGGACACTAGATTGAAGGGGGCTGAAGCTGGCGGCATGGAGACCACGTGGGCCATTTTTTCAAATTATGGGCAGAAATGATAGGGATCTGGTGTCAGGGAGTGGAGGGGGAGAGCTGCGAGGGCCTGGGGTGCAGACAGAGCCTGCAGCCTCACAGAAAGGGGAGGAGGGAGGGAGGATCAACAGAGGCAGGAGCCATGCCCCCAGCCCAGAGCACCGCCCCCGCGGGGGGCATACCTCCAGGGGTAGGCAGAAAGGGGAGTGAGGATGAGAGATGTCCGCCTGGCCTGGGGCTTCCAGGAGGCAGCTGGCTTTCTGGAGACTTCGCCTTAACCACAGGCACTGACCCCCTTCTCCTGGGCGCCAACTCCGTCTGGGCAACAGGCCCTCAATGACTAATGTTGTGGAGTGGGACCGACCTCCCCCAGACTGCCCCTCTCGGCCTTGTTGCACAACAGGCCTGGTGTTCTGGTTTCTTCCCCTGCCCGCCCCTGACAGCAACTAGGCTGAGATCAGCTTTCTCCTTCAAAAAGTACACTAAAATGCCATGTAGCTTCATAAATAAAAATTGTTATCAATTGTAGAAGACGGAGCACTGGTTTGATGGGGGGGGGGCAGAAGGCAGTTGATCTGGCGCTGGGCCCACTCTGCCCTTGATGTGGGGGGGGGGCACCAAATAAGCCCTTAGTTTCCTCCCTCCAAAATAAAACCAGAATATCGGTCCTCCTGCAGCAAAACATAAAGCAGATACACCTGGGCAGGGAATGGACTCTAAACTACGATACTCTGCACGCTCTGCACGCAGGAGCTGCTCTCACCAGAACAGCAGCAGCTCCTCCTAGGGGGCTTCCCTCCCTCCCATGGCTGACTCACTGCCCCAGGGCCTGGGATCTCTGGAACTGGCACTACCTGCCCCACCCATCCTGGAACCCTAGGCCCCCAGAAAGCAGAGCCAAGGGGAGTAAGAGGAAACTTCACCCAGGGCCACTGGGGCGGGGTGGCGGGGGGAGCCCAAGGTGAGCGCAGGGAGCAGGGGACATGCATTTCCATCCTGTCCTGCCACAGAAGGGATGCAAGGGTAGTTCTGGTTCAGATCATTATTCTTGGGGAAGAGGCAGGAAAAGGTCCAAAAGCCCTTGTGTCCCTTTGTTCTATTCTGAACAAGCAACACAAAGCCCTCAAAACACAAATGCTGCCCTGTGGGGCATGGAATTCCCCAGGTGACTGTGCCCAGGCAGGCCCCTGCTCCTTTCACCCGCCCGCCCATCTGCTGGTCTGCCTGCCTGCGAGGCTGTGTCAAAGGCAATGCTGGCAGGGAAGGGTAAAGCCCCAGCAGTGAGGCAGGGCCCCCGAGAATCTCAGTGGGGCCACTGCCCTCTCAGGGCACCAGCGCCTCTCCAAAACCACTATGGTCTGCACTCATCTTCTGTTCCTCAGTCCTACCCAGACCACTGGCTCTTCAAAGGTTGGAACACACAGTAAACTGAGGCCCAGAGCGATCTGGCACTCTGCTCAAAGAGCCTCGGCAGGGAGAGCCAGGCCCAGGTGCCCACCACTGACCTCTACCGTGCGAGGAGCTGCCTACCAGGAGCTGGTCGCTGATCTTGAGCTGCTCAGTCTGGATCTCCCGCAGAGGTCTCTTGAGCAGGGCCTTGGTCATGGCATTTTGGGCTGTCATACGCGTGGCCGTGTTCAGGTCCTTTACGGTCATCACGGACAGTACCGGGTCCCAGATGCGGAACTGGACATCGGCCCCCACGGACAGCACGGCCCCATCCTTAGAAGTCAGCTGTTGGGGTGGAGGGTTGGTGAGAGAGGAGATGGTCAAGGGGCTGGCGCTGCAGGGGGGTCAGGCCCTCTGAGACCACCCAGCTTGACCACCCACTGGGTACCTGGCTCCCCGATGGGAATATCATGTCCCCAAGTTCATGTCATTAGGTACACTGCATAAGGACGTCCCCCAGTCTCCATCCTCGACCTTTTGGTTTCTTCCCCTACCCTGACCTTGATGGTTGCTCACACACCGAGGTACTGGCTCCCACAATCACTCTGCAAAAGCCCCCACCCCCTCTTTCCGGGAGAGCCGAGAAGCTCCTAACCTTGCAGGGAGGGACATTGAAAGCGCGTGTCCTTAAATCCACCCGCTGAAAGGAGTCAATGAAGGGCAAGAGCAGAACCATGCCAGGCCCTTGAGGGGTGCGGATCCGGCCCAGTCGAAACACGATCATCCGCTCATAGGTAGGTACAATCTGTTCATGAGGGGGAGGGAAAGCGGTCAAAGTACCGGGCTGACCACAGCATCTGCCCAGGTCCCCCCACTGCCCCCCTCTGCCTTGGTCAGTGTCAGCTATCCTTAGATCTTTTTTATTATTTTTTTTTTATTTAAAGATTTCATTTATTTATTCATGAGAGACACAGAGAGAGAGGCAGACACAAAGGCAGAGGGAGAAGCAGGCTCCCTGCAGAGAGCCTGATGGGGCGGGGGGGACTTGATCCCGGGACTCAGGGATCACACCCGGAGCCACAGGCAGCCGCTCAACCGCTGAGCTACCCGGGTATCCCTTCTTAGATCTTTTTAGAAGAGAAAACCAAGGCTCTGAGAGGTTACGTGACTTGCTCAAAAATCACACGGCCCCCAAGTGAAACAGACAAGATTTGAAGGCAGTTCTGAATGACTCCAACCCCAGGCAAAGGGCTTTGCCAACTTTAGAAGTAAATATGTCCAAACTGAGAAATGAAGGCCCAGAGAAGCAAGGTGACTTGCCCAAGGTCACACAGAATTTGTTTCAGTGGCAGTTCTAGGACTAGGGTTTAGCACCTTCTAAGAGACTTCCTTCCAGACCATACCAAACCCAAAGGCTCCCTGGAAGGGTTGGCTGTTTCCTAGGGCCACACAAAGCACAAGGCCTGCCTGGACTTCCACCTTCGCTGCGGCTTGCAGATGAGATCCTTAGGGAGAGCTCACCCTTTCCCCTCTTCACCAGCCCTTGTTAAAAACCAGGCCTGAATTCCTATTACTTATTACCCGCTGGGCCAAGCAGAGTATTTCTCATTTCAAATTTTAGCCTGACCCAAAGAAAGGAAAATATCTGTGTGCACCCTTAAAGCCAGTGCCCAGACCCCAGGACCTGGGAGTTTGGGAAGGCTTCTGCACCACTCACTGGCTTCCAGTATGACTTTGGGCAAGTCTGAGCCTGTTTTTTCCTCATCTGAAAGATGTGAATGGATAATCCCGGACCAGCCCATTTCATCGGGATGCGATAATGTAATCTGTAGGGGAAGGGGACAGAGGATGGAGGGAGGATTGATCCAACAATGCCAAAGCTCTGAGCGTGGCCCAAAGCCCCGGGGTCTGACCCAGGCAGCCTTACCTTCAAGGCGAACCAGCCAGAAATGGGGAAGGTGAGCAGCAGCAGCAAGAGCCCCAGGAAGCTGATGAGGCCGTGGCAGAGGTAGGAGGGCCAGCTCTGGGGCGCATCTGGGGACAAGAGAGCAGACAGAGGCAGTCAGGGAACACCGACGGGTTCTGGCAGCAGAGCCGTGGGCGGAGTGAAGCTGGTCGAGGGTACCTTCTGCCCACCTCCCTCTTTGGCGGCTCGTCCCTTCTCAGGGCCCTCAGTTGCCTCCCTAAGACTCCGGTCTTTAGCCAGGTGCTAGGTAAGGATGTTCCCTCCTCCCACTCGTCAAAACTAATCTGTCTCAAGTCCCACCTCCACAAGGCCGAGTCTCTGCTAAGCAAGAGCCGTTAGACTTGAGAAGCCAATCCAAGTGATGCTCTCCTCACCGGGTACCTGGATCAATGCTCTTGCCTCACGCGGAGTGCCTCCCACACCTGGCATGGAGCCAGGAGCATCCAGGCATCTGTAAACACTGCACTGGGGGTGAACCGAATGCTCCTGAACCTCCCTCCTCTACCATCAGCCCCAAAAAGTGTGCTTTCAGGGCTGCCCTTTGGAAATAATGCTTTAGCCTAAAGGGATAAAGCGTGAATGGCGTGGCGAGGGCGAAGATGTTCTTCCCTAGTTCAAAATTCACCCCCCACCCCCACCCTTTAATGCCCTAAGGACTACGGAATGCTTTACTTGAAAGGGAGGTGTGAACTAGGAAGATGAGGGGCCCGTGAGCCCGGCTCCTGCAGAACCAAGGGCTCAAGATGCAAGTGGAGCGGAGAAAGCCCCAGAACCTAGCATGGTGATCCTCTGCTCTCTTTGCTCTCGTTCCCCTTGCAAGCCTAGACAGGAAGCAACCCTGGAGGCTCTGCTCTGTGCTCCCAGGAACGCCGTGCCCTCTGCGGTCTCCAAGACCCCGGGGCACCTTCCTGCCTGGCTCTGACCCCCGCGGCCCCTGCAGAAAAGGAAGCCCGGGAGAGGGGCCGGCTGTCATCACAGGAGGGTCGGGACGGACCAAATCCTCCAACGTCGGAGGCTCGTGGGGATCTTACTCCAGGGCCAGGGAATCCCTCAAGGCTCTGGAGCAGGAGGTGGTGGAAGCTCAACAAGAGGCAGCCGAGGGCCTGCCCGTACCCACCGGGAGACAGGCGGATGCCTGGGCCTGGGGCGTCTGGGGCGTCTAGAAGCACCCCCAGGATGAATGAAGACTGTGCCATTTCTCCGCAGCCAGGCGCCCTTAGCATGTGGACCACCTCCTAGGCCTCCACCCTGGGCTCCTTTTGGCCGAAATGGGAATCTGAAGGGCGCCCGGGGTTGGGGGTCGGGGAGGACCAGTCCAGGAGCTGCTGCCTCTGGTTTCCGCTCAGATGGTGGCCTCTGGGTCCTGAGATATGGCCCCATCTGCTGGAGATTCTCTCCCTCTCTCTCTCTCTCTTTAAAATAAATATTCAGGGGATCCCTGGGGGCTCAGCGGTTGAGCGCCTGCCTTTGACCCAGGGCGTGACCACGAGGTCGAGTCCTGCCTCGGGTCCCCTGCACGGAGCCTGCTTCTCCCTCTGCCCCGCCCCCGTCTTTCATGAATAAACAAATAAATACGATCTTAAAAAAATAAAATAAATCTTCAGGGGACCCCTAGGGGGCTCAGCGGTTGGGCGCCTGCCTTTGACCCAGGGCGTGACCCGGGGTCCCGGGGTCGAGCCCCGCGACGGGCCCCCTGCACGGAGCCTGCTTCTCCCTCTGCCTCTCTCCCTCTCTCGGCCTCTCATGAATAAATGCAATCTTTAAAAGAATAATAATAAACTAAATCTTCGAAATGGGGACTTGTGATCCCCCCTCTCGGCCTCCTCCTCCCGGGCCCCGGCTCCGCGGCGCTGGGCGGCCACTCACCAGCCCCCGGCCCCGCGCCGCCCCGCTCCGGAGACAGGCAGCCCTTCTGCGAGCCCAGGAAGCCGAAGCTCGACTGCTGGAAACGGTCAAAGTCCCCCAGGGGTAGCGCCCGGTACCCCGACCTGCCGAGCATGGCTCCCGGCAGGTGCACCCGCGCCCCGCCCCCTCGGCCGCCGCTTCCGGGGTCGCGGGCCACCGAGGCGGGAGGCGGCGGCTAGAGGGGCCGGCCCGCGCGGCACAGCGCCCCCTGCGACTGGAGGACCGCGACCCCCCGCCCGCCCGCCCGCGCCTTGCCTCCGCGCCCCGCAGGCCAGTGGGCGGGGGGAGCCGGGGAACCACGTTCCCTCCAGAATCAAGCCTGCTCCGCGCTGCTGCTGCAAACTCCCATACTGCGGGGTTGGCGGGCTGGAGTGTCTTATCTAGAATTAGGGTTTCTCCTAGGCACCGTCAGCAAATGATTCTTCCTTGCGGCCCCCCCCTCCAGCCCCCCAGCCTCCCAAGCAGGGTCTGGCATAGAATGGATCTCAATTACTTGTGGCTCAGCGGTTTAGCACTGCCATTGGCCCAGGGCGTGACCCTGGAGACCTGGGATCGAGTCCCTCGTGGGGCACCCTGCATGGACCCTGCTTCTCCCTCTGCCTGTGTCTCTGCCTGTGTCTCTGCCTCTCTCTCTCTCTATATATGTGTGTGTGTGTGTGTGTGTGTGTGTGTGTGTCTCATAAATGAAATCTTAAAAAAAAAAAAAAGATACTTGTCTGTTGAGTAAAGCCATAGCCAGTTCACTGTTGGCACAAAAAGAGGAATTTTGTCATCACAGACGTCCAGGAAACAGCACACCCCTTGACCCAGAGAGGTAATGTGACCTAGAGGTAGCTTTAGCTTGCCTCTCCATGACTTGGGAAAAATCTAAATGCAGATGGTAAATTCACTCTGAACAGCACTGATATTCAACATTGAGTTGGGGCAGGTGAGCGAAGAGGGGTGCCTAGCGTCTGCCTTCTGCTCAGGTCATGATCCCAGGTCCTGGGATTGAGCCCTATGGGCTCCCTGCGCGGTGGAGGGTGTGCTTCAGCATCTCCCCCTGCCTGCTGCTCCGCTGACTTGTGCTCTGTCAAATAAATAAATAAAATCTTAAAAAAAAAAAAAAAAGGTGAGCAAACAAATAATAAAGCTTTCCTTGTCTCAGCCACATGCCAATCCTGCCTCCTCAGACCCTCACACCCCCTGATGTGACCCTTTCAGGTCCCTTCTGCAGATGCTGCTCACTATCTTTGGCTTTTTCTAGTTTGATGGCCTGATTGTGAAGCCCTGAGGGTACTGATCAGGCTGGAGGGAAGGGTAGGGCCCCTGAGGCCTCACACGGTCCTGGGAAGTGGGGTCTCCCTGCCAATCCCTTTCCCCACATAGCCCAGAGGATAAACTTTACAAGAGCAAGGTCCCATCACCATCCCTAGTCCGCTCCAAGCTGGAACTGAGCACAGAATTATACCCAGTGGGTAGTACAGTGGTTGGGGTGGTTTGGTGTTTGAAGCCAGGGCCCTTCACCCGGTGAAGCTGCCCGGGGTTGTTCTTCCTACCCTCACCAGCTGGGAGCTGGCATGCTTCCCCTTTAGCCAAGAACTAACTTGCTCTCTCCTCGCTGTCTTCATACCTGCTCATTGGCTCTCCCCTTCCACTCCCTGCCCACGCTGCCTCAGACTCACCAACCTTTCCAACTCTCAACCAAGGCATCATCCTGTTCCCCTCAGCTCCACTCACTGTCCTCCCGTGTCTCAGACTCAGATCCCTCCTCTGCATCCCACAGCCATTGTCCTAGACCAGGTCACCCGACCCAGGTTGCCAGAGTGACTGTCCCAACATGGGTGTTGGGTCATGTTTCTGGGTTCTAATCTCACGCTGTTGCCCACAGAACAAGTGCATCTCCTTAGCCTTGATCCTGCTCATGGGCCCCCTCTTAAATTTGAAAATAATGAAAACCGGTTTCTTTTTAAGATTTTATTTATTTATTCATGAGACACACACACACAGAGAGGGGCAGAGACACAGGCAGAGGGAGAAGCAGGCTCCATGCAGGGAGCCCGACGTGGGACTCGATCTGGGGTCTCCAGGATCACACCCCGGGCTGAAGGCAGGAGCTAAACCGCTGAGCCCCCCGGGCGTCCCTGGAAACTGGTTTCTAAACAGACTCTCCTGTTTCAAACCTCCATGCCTTTGCTCGTGCTGTTGCAAGCGTTCCCCATCCCCAAGTTCCTGCACTTCCCAGCTGAGATCTCCTTTCCGGACTGCCCCTCTGCAGCGTGCAAACCTGTTTGGGTGACTGCTCTGGCTTAGACCTGGGTTCTTCCAAAGCAGGCCCACCTGTGGCTCCTGTCTGTGCCCCGGGTCAAGCCAAGGGCGGCCCGGCCTCCTTCCCGCTAGGCCAGGCCGCGGCCAGTTACCCCCAGGTCGGCTGAGCATCTTCTCTCCTCCGCTCCTCCCTCCCGCTCGGGGCGTGTCTCCAGCCCCCCCCCCCTAGAACCGCCCCCCGGCTCTGTCTCACTTCCTCCGGGGAGGCGGGCCCTGAGTGGGGCCGTCCCTCCGACGGGCTCCGGCGACCGCGATCCGGCGCCTGCCTCTCGGTTTCGCTTCTCCTCCCCCGCCTCAGGCTCAAAACCCAGAAGCGAAACTGTGCTGGGATCCATGCAGCAGGAGCCCGCGCCCCCCCGCTCTCCGGCTCCCGGGCAGGACCCCGCACCGCCCCCGGCGCCCAGCATGCCTCCCCCGGAGCCCGCCTGCGAGGGCCACCAGCCCAGCCCCAGCCGCAACCCCGCGGAGGTACCCCTGGGCTTGGGGAGGTGGGGTGGAGGCTTGGTTGATGGCTTCGGGGAAGGGAGGGGACAGCGAGGCCAGGCACCTCCCCAGAGTGACCCAGAGAGAAAGCCAGACTCTGGGCCCGACCCTCGGGGCAGCTGAGAGCGGGAAAGGGTACCAGGGTGAGCTGGGGGGGGCCTCGGTGCTGGCATGCCCCACGGACAGGGGCAAGGTGCTGAGGGCCTGGACTCATCTGCCCACCCTGGCGACTTGCCCCCTGAGCCCCAGATGAATGTCCAGGGATTCGGGGGATGGCGGGGTAGCCCTGGGGAGCAGGCCGAGAGCCAGGGGCATGTCCCAAGTGTGGAAAACCAAAACCCGAGTTCCCAGATCAGGAAGTGGGAACCTGGCCCAGACGAGAGAAGTGTCTTGGCTAAGGCCTCACAGCTCTTGGGGTGGCTTCTCCGCTAGGATACCTACCTCCAAGATCCTTCTGTTGGAACACTCTGTGTGCCCTCCACCCCCGCACCCTCACCCTGGGTCCACAAAGGGTTTACTGGGGCCTCTTCCGGGAAGCTTGCCTGGGTCTGCTCGGGAAGCTTGCCTGGGTCTGCTCCGGGACAAGCTCCCCAGGTGCCCTCCTGCCCCAGAGGAGCTACTTCACATCTCATGCAGTGTGTTTTCCCAGGCCCTTCATGAAAGCACCATCCTGCAGTAACTTCTATTCTGTGCATTATTACAACTAGGAATCGTACTACTTCCTTGTGAACATTCCTCGTGGGCCAGTACTTTATTAAGCACTTTTTTTACCCTTTCTTTCTTTCCTTTTTTTTTTTTTGCTAGAAAATATCCATAATATTAAAATTACCATGCTTTTAACATTTTATTTCTTGTAAGTAATCTCTACGCCCAGCATGGGGCTTGAACTTAACAACCACGGGATCCAGAGCCTCGTGCTGCACTCTCTGAGCCAGCCAGGTGCCCCAAAAACTTAACGGTTTTTTTTTTTTTAATTTTTTTTTATTTATTTATGATAGTCACAGAGAGAGAGAGAGAGAGAGGCAGAGACACAAGCAGAGGGAGAAGCAGGCTCCATGCACCGGGAGCCCAATGTGGGATTCGATCCCGGGTCTCCAGGATCGTGCCCTGGGCCAAAGGCAGGCGCCAAACCGCTGCGCCACCCAGGGATCCCCTTAACGGTTTTTAAATGTACATTTCAGTGGCATTGAATATATTCACAATGTTGGGTAACCGTCAACCACCATCTATTTCCAGAATTTTTTTCATCACCCTCAATAGAAACTGTACTCCCTAAGCAGTAGCTCCTTATTTACCTGCTTCTCCCAGCTCCTGGTAACCTCCACTCTACTTTTCTGCTGCTGTGGATCTGCCGATGCTAGATATTTCATATAAGTGAACCATCCAATTATTTGTCCCTTCGTGTTTGTCTTATTTTGCTTAGCCTAATGTTTTCAAGGTTCTCATACATGTATGAGAATTTACTTCCTTTTCATCTTATTTTATGTTATTTTTAGTAAAGATCTTATTTTTAAGTAACCTCTACACCCAGTGTGGGGCTTGAACTCACAAACCCAAGATCAAGAGTCACATTCTCCATCAGTTGAGCCAGCCAGGCGCCCCTTCCTTCATTTTCTTTTTTAAAGATTTTATTTTATTTATTTTATTTTTTTAAAGATTTTTTTTTTTAAGATTTTATTTATTCAAGAGAGGCAGAGACACAGGCAGAGGGAGAAGCAGGCTCCATGCAGGAAGCCCGATATGGGACTCGATCCAGGGACCCCAGGATCAGGCCCGGGGCCAAAGGCAGATGCTCAACTGCTGAGCCACCCAGACGTCCCCTCTTCCTTCATTTTTTTTTAATTTTTTTTTTTTATTTATTTATGATAGTCACACAGAATGAGAGAGAGAGGCAGAGACATAGGCAGAGGGAGAAGCAGGCTCCATGCACCGGGAGCCTGACGTGGGATTCGATCCTGGGTCTCCAGGATCGCGCCCTGGGCCAAAGGCAGGCGCCAAACCGCTGCGCCACCCAGGGATCCCATCTTCCTTCATTTTTAAAAACTGAATGATACTCCATTGCATGCGTAGACCACTTTTGTTTATCCATTCATTTGTTGATGGACACTTGGGTTATTTCTACCTTTTGGAGCCTGTGCATGATGGTGCTGTGGACATGGGTGTGAAGTATCTGTTCAGCTACTCATCTTCAGTTATTTTGGGAAATCTATCTAGGAATGAAATTGCTGGGTTATATAGTACTCCTGTGTTTAACTTCTTCAGGAGCCACCAAACCATATATTTTTTAAAAGATTTTATTTATTTATTCATGAGAGACACACACAGAGAGAGAGGCAGAGACATAGAGGGAGAAGCAGGCTCCCTGCGGGAAGCCCAATGCGGGACTCGATCCCAGGACCCCAGGATCACGCCCTGAGCCCCCCAGGCGCCCCTCCACCAAACCATATTAAGCACTGTTTATGATGTTACATGAGATACACTTCACGTATCTCCTTTCTAGAGCGAGTCCCTTGAAGGTAGGGATTTATACTCCCATCCTTGGGTGTCTGGGCCTCGTAGTGCTGTGCTCCCCGCATTGCGTAGTGGGAGAGGGACGCCCGGGTAGAGGCTGGGAACTGTGGTCCTGCTCAGCCTGGGCTTTGTATCATCTAATGACTGCCTGGCGTGGAATATGGAGCCCACTCCACCCTCCAGCCGCAGCAGAGGATCTGGGGGGGCTCCGGGATTTCAGGCCTCACCCCACCTCTCTGGTCCCCCAGCAAGCCCTGGAGGAGGAGTTCCAGTTCCTGTGCTGCCAGAGCTGCCAGGCCGAAGCCAAGTGCCCCAAGCTGCTGCCGTGTCTGCACACGCTCTGCTCGGGATGCCTGGAGGCATCGGGCCTGCGCTGCTCCATCTGCCAGGTGCCCGGGCCTCTAGGCGCTGGCTCGCCGGCCCTGGACAACGTCTTCTTCGAGAGCCTGCAGCGGCGCCTGTCGGTTTACAGGCAGATCGTGGACGCGCAAGCTGTTTGCACCCGATGCAAAGAACCTGCGGACTTCTGGTGTTTTGAGTGCGAGCAGCTCCTCTGTGCAAAGTGCTTCGAGGCGCACCAGTGGTTCCTCAAGCACGAGGCTCGGCCCCTGGCAGAGCTCCGGAGCCAGTCGGTGTGTGAGTTCCTAGACAGCACTCGAAAGTCCAACAGCATCTTCTGCTCCAACCCCAACCACCGCACCCCTATGCTGACGAGGTGAGCCTGCTGGTCCTGGTGGGGTGGCACATCCCAGAGCCGGGTAGAAGGTACAGGGAGCAGAGAGTCACATAGCGGGGACCGGGGGATAAAGGGCTTCTGGGCCTTTGCAACTCAAAATGTGGTCCAGGGACCAGCAGCATCTGTGGCCATGACCACAGTTTATATTATCCCATGCAAATGGATAGCGATCGGTAACAGCCTCCCCCTGTAGTAGATAGTGCTGCAGAACCATCTTTACACGCTTACCCAATAATTTTTTCAGGGTATATTTTGGAAATGCCATTGCTAGGAGAAGGGGTATGAAAATTTTACATTTCGTACATGTTACCAAACTGCCCTTTAGAAAGTTTTTACAGTGGGTTTTTCTACGTCACCAGCCATGGAGTGTGGGTCATGGATAGATTCCAGAGGAGATGCAGGTAGTTTCTGTCTGAAAGTCAAAACCATAACACGATGCTGTCTCAGAATGTCTATAGGAAAAAAATCCAATTGAATCCAGTTAAAATTATTTTTATTAAACAGCACAGGATTTTCATCCAATATTTTTCATAATATATGTGTATGGTTAAAAAAAATATGAAATTTATAAAGGGGACAAAGTCTCCACTCCACTCTGTCCCCATCTGCTTAATTCCTACCACTTCTCCCTCCCCCCACCCACAGTTAAACAGTTACCAGTTTGGAATGCCTTCAGAGTTTCTTTGTGAATTATGCACAGATAGGGGTAGATAGCCCTACAAATTCTAATTTTCCCCCTTTTAGCCAAAAAGGTAACATACCTATGTGAACTATTCCTGCTCCCAATAGATTGCTTCTGTAAGATTCCTAGGTGTGCTCATTGGGGATCTGCATAGCAAAAGTCTTCTTTGCCCATTGGGAACACACTCAGAACTGCATTCTTCCTAAACCTGAGTGTGACTTGCTTCTGGCTTGGACTTCTACTACAAGAATGAGTTTCTGTTTCCAGCAGATTCCTCCAACAGAAGGACGTTAGAATTTGGATTTCCTTGTTTGTTAAGATTCAGATTTAGTGGCTTTTTATATATTTATTGCCTATTGTTATTTCTTCATTTGTGAATTGCCTATTTAGGTCCTTTGCCTGTTTGGTTTTTTCTTCAAGAAATTAGTTCCTAATTTTTTTTTTTTTAAAGATTTCATTTATTTATTCTTGAGAGACACAGAGAGAGAGAAGCAGGCTCCATGCAATCCTTAATTTCAAGAGCCAGTGACGGTGCAAACGTTTTCTCCTGTTGACTTTTGCGTCATTTCCTACGTGGGATTGTGTTTTAAGTTTTTTGTTTTATAGGATCCAGTTCATCAGTCTTCCTGTATGGTGTCCTGCTTTGATCATACTGGGAAAGATTTTCTTCCCATGCCCACCTTAAAAATATTTTCTTATATCCTGTGTTAATAATCCCGTGGTTTTATGTTTATAATTGAATCTTTAATTCATAAGGAATCAATTTTTCTGCATGGTATGAAGTAGGATTCCTCACTTTGCTTTTCTCTCCCAACTGGAATGTTGGTTCTCTCAACAACTTTTATTGAATAATCCACTCTTGCCTTCATCTCACACGCCCTATACTAAATGCTCAAGCAGTCATGGGTATGTTTGTAAAGATCTGTGCTGTCCTAGGGAATCTAGTAGCTTCATGTTTGATAGGGCAATTTCCCATTCTTCTTCAGAAGCAATTTTACTTTTTTTAAAAAAGATTTTATTTATTCATGAGAGACACACAGAGAGAGGCAGAGACATAGGCAGAGGGAGAAGCAGGGTCCATGCAGGGAGCCCGGCGCAGGACTCGATCCCAGGACTCCAGGATCACGCCCTGGGCCAAAGGCAGATGCTCAACTGCTGAGCCACCCAGGCGTCCCAAATTTTGCTTTTCTTATGTTTTTACAGTTGATGCCATTTCAGAACTTATATATTCACTGGGATTTTGAATGAAATTGTATTAAATCTGGGAAGAGTTGGCCTCATCTCTGGTTATATCTTTCTTTATACTTTTATGGACATACCTCTTGAATTTTTAAGTTGTAGTTAAATTTACAATATTTGGGCAACCCAGGTGGCTCAGCGGTTTAGCGCCGCCTTCAGCCCAGGGCGTGATCCTAGAGACCTGGGACCTGGGATCGAGTCCCACATCAGGCTCCCTGCATGGAGCCTGCTTCTCCCTCTGCCTATGTCTCTGCCTCTCTCTTTCTGTCTCTCATGAATTAAAAAAAAAAAAAAAAAAAAAATATATATATATATATATATATATATATATATAATATTTAATGAGCCTGTGAATAAAATCTTTTCCATTATTTCTACCTGGTGATCATTAACATCCTTTAATCCCCCTAATTTATGTATTATATTAGCCATTTGAGCTCTTTTATTTTTGTAAGCTTTTCCAATTGATTCTTCTGAATTTCCTAGGTAAACAATTCATGTCATCCACAAGTAATAAAAACTTTATTGTCTCCAAAATTTACACGTATTACCTCCTTGTAGCTTTGTTTTGTTTTGTTGTTTCTCATAGCTAAAACCATCAGAGCAATATTGAATGGTGAAAGGAAGTGGTTAGAAAGGCAACTTTAAAAAAAAAACTTAAAAGAAAAAGAAACTTCATCTTATTCCTAGCTTTCATGAGAGAGTTTTTTTCTTATATATGATGCTATTTATTATTGCTTTCCTTAGGTAACTTTACAAAATCACATTTAGAAAGTTGCCTCCCACTTCTAGCTTACTAAGAGTTTTTTGTTTTACTATTTTGTTTTATTTTTAACTCAGGAATGGGTGTTCTTTGGGATTCTATGAAGATGTCCTTATACCTTTCATTGTGGTGAATTACAGCAATGTGTTTCTTTATGTTGAGCCTTTTTTTTTTTTTTTTTAAATTCCCAGGAGGAAAAATGCTATTTGGTCATGATATACTATTATTTTAATTCATAGCTGGATTTCATTCAATGCTATTTTACTTAGGCTATTATCTGTATTTACAAATGTGATCAATTTTTATGAGTATGTATGATTTCTTTCAAGGTTTTTGACCCATTTTATACTGATCTCCATCAGTGAATTTGTAAGCTTTTTTTTTTTTTAAAGATTTTATTTATTCATGAGAGACACACACAGAGAGAGAGAGAGAGAGAGGCAGAGACACAGTCAGAGAGAGAAGCAGGTTCCCTGCAGAGCCTGATGTGGGACGTGATCCTGGGATTTGCTTAGCACAATGCCTGGCACGTATTATGTACTAAGTCAATGTTAAAATCCTAGTCCTATAATTTCTCTGCTCTGCTCTAGAACAGCTAAAGAACATACGTAGTTTGAGCTTATAGAAGTTTCTTGAAAAATTTCCTGGAACTGGTGCTTTTTTTTTTGAAGAGTAGATTTTATTTTTATTTTATTTTTTTAAGATTTTATTTACTTATTCATGAGAGACACACAGAGAGAGGCAGAGACAGAGGCTGAGGGAGAAGCAGGCTCCACACAGGAAGCCTGATGCAGGACTCAATCCCTGGACTCCAGGATCATACCCTGAGCTGAAGGCAGGCGCTCAACCGCTGAGCCATTCAGGAATCCCAAGAGTAGATTTTCCTCCTTGGTATTGGTTTGTTAGGGATTTTGAGTCAGATTTTCTGGAAAATTTTCCAGTTTGTCCTGAGTTCTTTCATAATTTAAAAATCTCCTTTATACCTGTAATGCTCTCCCGTTTCTTCTTTCTTTTTTTTAAAGATTTATTTATTTGTATTTGTATTTATGTGTATTCATGAGAGACACAGAGAGAGAGAGAGAGGCCGAGACGCAGGCAGAAGAGGGGAGAAGCAGGCTCCATGCAGGGAGCCTGACGTGGGACTCCATCCCAGGTCTCCAGGATCATGCCCCAGGCTGAAGGTGCTAAACCGCTGAGCCAACCAGGGATCCCCCCTTTCTTCTTTCTTTCTTTCTTTCTTTCTTTCTTTCTTTCTTTCTTTCTTTCTTTCTAAGTTATATATATATGTATATATATATAGATATAGATATATACATATATATATATTTTAAGATTTTATTTATTTATTCATGAGAGACATAGAGAGAGGCAGAGGGAGAAGCAGGCTCCCTGCGGGGAGCCCAATGCGGGACTCGATCCCAAGTCTCCAGGATCACACCCTGGGCTGAAGGTGGCACTGAACCGCTAAGCCACTCGGGCTGCCCCCCCTTTCTTTTTTCTTTTCTTTAAGATTTTATTTATTTATTTATTCATGAGAGACCACTCCATCCATTGATGCTGAGTTGATTTCGGACCCAGGTTGGGGAGCAGCACCAGAGGTGGCTTTGAACTTAGAACTCAGCCTGGCAGTGTCTGCCTTGGGGCTGATATCACCACCTCCACGGAGTACATTTTTTTCAGCCTACTTCCTCCTATGTGTTAGGCCATCTGCTAGGGGACTAGAGTGTAAATACAGACAGATACACAGGCACTCTGTGAGGTCATAGTGTGGTAGAAAAACCAGATCTACAACTAACCACCAAGGCTGTAAGGCCAACAGGAAACCTGCTCACCCTGAGCTTGAATAATTTCGCACTGTCCTCTACCTTACACTTTCCCTTGCTAGTCAGTATCCCTGCTGAGTGTGTGCTCAATCTGTTGTTAAGGGCAGAAAGGAGAGGAGCACAGGCACAAAAGTGAGTCATCTTAGAAGAGACATTGGCTGGGGAAGGTAGCCTCCAAGAGAGTGTCACGTTTAGCCTGATGTGTAAGAAAGGAGAAATGGTGTGGGGGCAGGGTGGAGTGGGCCGGGCAGCAGGTACAAAGGCAGAGGCACTAGTGAGTCTGTTGCATTTCAGGAATTGCAAAGTAAAGGGTATGCCTGAAGGCAGGCGCTGGAAGGGGGAGCTAGAGTCAGACATGGGGGAGCCTGGTGATAGGACTCTAGCGTATCATTTCTGGAACATAGAATGTTCTCAGCTTGCTCCTTTTTCACTCAGTTTACTCTTGTTTTACCAGGGGAATGGCCTATAGAAC